CAGAACTGCTAGCCTCTCGTGGCGCTTCAGAAGCTATCCTGCAAGCTGCTCAGAGCTACAAGTGTTTGGCATGTGCAAAGTACAAGAAACCCAATGATGCTGCACCTGCCGCCACACAGAAGGCACAGAACTTCATGAGATCGTGCAAGCTGATGTGTTCTGGATCCGAAGGGGCTCCACCAAGTATGCCATCATGAGCATGGTTGACATGGCAACTCGATACACTGCCGCTTGCCTCCTTCGATCCGAACGTTCTGAAGAGTACATCAAGGCCCTCGAGCGCTTCTGGATTGCATATTTTGGTGTTCCTGGCCTACTCATGACGGACGAAGGCCGACCTTGGCTCAGCGGCATCATGGATGAGTGGACCACCGCTCATGGCATGCAGCATAAAGTGGCACCAGGCGAAGCTCATGAACGACTTGCCATCGTGGAGCGACGCCATGCACTGATCCGCAAGGCTGTCGGGATCTACCTGGACGATGTGAAAGTTGATCACGTTGAAGGCATCAAAGAGGCCCTCACCTTCGTTGTGCCACAGCTCAATGCCACGCCAATGGTTGCTGGATTTAGCCCATCTCAATGGGTCCTTGGGTATCAACCCAGCCTTGCAGGCGATCTTCTGTCCGATGCCGTGCAGCCCTCTCACTTGGTGGCAACGCATCCTTTGAGGACATGCTCAACAAGCGTCACAGTGCCAAGAAGGCCCTTTTGGACGCTGATGCTGATCGTCGACTCCGACGAGCTCTCCAGATGAAGTACAAGGGAACGAGTTCCGAGTACAGCCTGGGTCAGCGTGTTTGGTTCTGGCGTGACGCAAGGCAGCCTGACCTGGTCAAGATCAGATGGCTTGGTCCTGCTCATGCGGTGATGAAAGAATACCACCAGGACACCGACACTCCTCAGGTCTCCGTCTACTGGCTCGCCTTCAAGACGCAGCTGATCAGATGTGCACCACACCACATACGAGCCGATGTCAAGGGCATGGAGCATGCAATAGACGACGCCCAACTCGCCCTCAACACGGTTCGACAGCTGCGATCTCGTGGAGTTACCAGGTATACTATGACCTGCATCGACTGAACCGGCAGCACTTGGCTGATGTCGAAGATGATGAACATGGCACCAGTGACACTCTGGAGTCCGACAGCGATCATGAAATGGCTCCTCCCCGACAACGACCACGACTGTCAGTGTCACCAGCACCCCCCGACATCTCCCCATTGAGCCGGCGCCAGAGGCACCAGCCGCCGATGCACAGGCATCTCCAGCGGCACCCACCGAAGAAGAGAATCAAGATCAAGTACAACCCGATGGAGCCCAGATTCCCATTCCAGCAGGTGACGTGTCACCCCTGTCAGGAATCTCCATCTCTGAACCCAGTGAAGAACCAGCGATCCCTACGGCAGCACCAACGCCGCATGCAACACAGTCGCAGCCAGCACTGGACCCTTCTACGGCAGCGCTGTACGAGACAGCTGGACCAGAGACTATCCAACAACAACGACTGCGGTTCAACAGACAGGAGACAATCAGCTTCGCCCCATGGCGAAACCGACATCATCAGCAAAGCCAACCATATGAACCACAACCACAAGCACCAACACCGCCTCCAAATGAGCCGTTTGGCGACCAAGGATTTGTGGTCGAGGACATCGATCCCGGCTGGCTCCCTGATGGCTGGTATGTCGATGAAGAAGGCTACATCAGTCTCACCGACCGCGCAACAGACTACTGGGAAGTCAAGGCTGGGTGTCTCATTCGACACCACGTGATTCCAAGGAGAGGCCGCCTGCGCATCGAGCACCTCCCAAAAGATTGTCCTGTGCCCCTCGAGCATCTGGACAAGGTCAAAGTGACCATGGTGCATCAAACCAGTGGCAAGAGCCGCCTCTTCACTGACGACGGCACTGACACCTCAGCACCCGCAGATACAAAAGATGCTTGGACAGGCCTCACAGTCTTCCAAATCGATGGCAACACCCGCAAAGAGATGGCCATGTACTCTGGTCACCATGAGGCCTACACCAATGCAAAACAAGAAGCAAAGAGCCAGAAGCTGGCCCGCACAAAGAAATTCAAGAAGGACAAGAATGGGGTGAATGAGCGTCTACTTGGACCTGATGATCGTGCCCTTTTCAAGGAAGCAAAGGTCAAGGAGCTGAAGTCCTTCTTCGATCATGGAGTATGGACCTTCCAGCGCAAGGATGAAGCTGACTGCACGGACATTGACCTCCAGGATGATTCTGAAGTGGTCCAAGCACCCCGATGGCAGTCCTCGGGCCAAGGCTCGCTTGATTGTTCGAGGCTACAACGATCCCGACGCCCTCGAAGGAACTGCGGCTACATCCAGTCCGACCACTACACGTTTGAGCCGCAGCATGGTCTTGTCCCTTGACACGGATTCCAGACTGACCCGTATGTCTATCACAGAGGAATTGATTCCCTCCCTGTGGTAGGAGTCGTACAGAGCTCTTGCGTCCGTGACCAGGATGGGCTTGAGGCTCGAGGGCATCTGGAGAAGATCCTTCAAGGTGATTTTGGGGTTCATCGGATGCTCCCAGTAGCGGCAGGTGAAGTCGACCGCGTCAGCAGCCTGGCCACCGGCCTGGGCCTCTGCAGCCAATGAGCTGCGTGCCATCCTTGGCGTTCGAAAACTACGCCAGTCAACAACGTGATACTCGCCCTCCTCCGGCGAGTTGACAAGCTTCCGGTTCAGGAGCATGGAGATGTATCCACCTTGTGAATTGCCGTCCGAGCGACTTGCAAAACCTGCGTCAAAGAAGGTTACCAGCTGCAGCTCCGACGGGGGACCAATGTAGTTGTACAGAAGCCCGACGTCCTTGTTGTCTTTGCTGAAGCGAAGAGCTGGTTGCATTCCTGCAAGGTTTGAACCGTCGCTTTGGTGATCTGGCCGGAGAGCATGGATGTAGAGCACTGCAAATGCGGTGAGCTTTGAACCGCTGGCCATTGCAACGAACGCAGTAGGCCGCGTACCTGAGTGATTTCTCTCTCCTGCAGTGCTTCTGACATAGCCCTCTTCTTGTCGTAGGTGATGGGGGAGACCTTGGACAAATAGTTGCCCTGGTGCAGCTTCCGGCCTCCTTCAGGTGTGGACTGCAGCTCGCAACCACAGTACTCGAGAGTGTCCAGGTCCTCCTTCCACTCTCGAGAGGAGAAGTTGTTCTTCAGGTCATTGATGACTTCCTGGTAGCGAGGAGACAGAGCGCAGCCGCTGCCCAACATGTCGTCAACATGCATGATGACCATGCCAACCACACGTTCAGGACCAAGGCTGCTCACCTGTTGGTGTACCTCATCTTTCTCATCGTAGGTCTTGCTGTCGGTCTCGTAGATGAGGAAGCAGCAGGGATCCAGTGGATGTTGGCGTAGGCCTGCCCGAAGGAGTCGGTCCACTGCTTCAAGGAACCATCCTCTTGGGGCATCGATCTGTCCATAGCAGGGTTTGAGCAGCAGCATCGTGGAATCTTCATCAGCGCCAAGAAGCTGTGTGCACTCGGCTGGAAGCTTGACCCACAATTTGCGAGTTTGGGGTCTTCCTTGAAGAAAGGCCGTGGACACGTCGGCGGTCCAGGTGTTCCATTTCATGTTGGCTGCAAGGCGTCATGGACGCCTGAAGATGACCTGGGATCCAACATAATCATACCAGGCAGCAAAACGGAAGACAAAAGGTCAGAGAGCAGCTGCAATAGCAGAAAGCACACCCGAGACCTATGTGCAACAGAATGTGAACCACCATGAGAACGAGCACCACCAAACGACCGAAGACGTGCCGGACATCTTTGAAGTGCGTGAGAACATGGACATGTCACCGAATGTGCAGCTCCCATCGAACATGCAGTCTGCACAGAATGAGCACCACACTCAGTATGCGTTTGTTGCACAGTATGCCAAGCCCATTGAGTATGCGCTCCTCATGCGCCATGTCGGCCGCCGCAAGAACTTTGACTTCAACAGTCGCACCAAGTATGTCTTGCTGCTGCTTGCGCTGCTGGCACCGACCTTAGCTGGTGCTCAGGACACATGTGCTCGACAGCCGGCCCGAGAAGAAGAAGACCAGGTCCTGCGGTTCTGGATCATCAGCTGCTTGGTACTGCAGCTGTTTGCTATGTTTGGAGTTTTTCTCCTCGGGCGCTATTTTGGCGGCAAAAGCACTGAGCCTGTGATCAAGTATGACACCGGCATCCAAAAGAACGAGCCCATAGTGAGTCAGAGGCTTCGAGAACAAGTTCGTGAGTTGAGAGATGAGCTACGCATCTCCAAGTTCGAGGCCAACAACAGCTTGGAAGCAGCTCGAGAGGCAAGAGCTGCGCAAGCGCTTTCTCAAGAAGAGGTCTTTGCGCTGAGCGACCTCGTCCTCAATGCCCAGTCTCTCGTTCGCGCCTTGGAGCGCGAGATGGATGAACATCCTGAAAAGTGCCCCTTCAACCATGAGATCTACATGTCCAAGAAGGGCATTTGCTGGCACCACCGCGATTGTCACATCGTGGAGCAGCTGTGTGAGGCCAACAAGATGGTGATGAAAGGCTGCTGCTACTGTGTTGCCGGCGGGACACCGCCCGACCGAATGGTGTACCCGAGAGGCTGGTGTCTGCGACAGGACATCCAAGCATGGCTCCAAAGCTATGCAGCTTTTTCCCATGGGTCGAGATGAAGAATTCCTCCCCATGTGAATCGCTCGCTGAGCGATGTGTTTCGTTCGATCGACAGACCCCGAACCGCTCTAGCTGGGCGGGCTCAAATCGAGTAAAACCGGCGCGGTGCGGCGTTTCGACGCCATGTGCTTTTTCGTGGTTCCGGACCTCGTTTGCTGGAACGCATTCGCTACACCACGTGTAATTATTTGCTTGTTGTGAATTGTGTATGTCTATCCTAGATGCCCATAAACTTATAATCCATTGCGTATTCTTGCGACCCCCAGGTTGACACGAAAGCCCGAATTCTTTGTATTCACCGTAGTGGTCACTGATTCCTTTGAGGAGCGCTTTGAGCTTCCGCAGCGTGGAGGATGGTCCGGTGGAGGTTGCGAACTTCTGAAGCTTGGAGCTAATCAGCAAATCCTGCTGTTTGGAACCAATTTCGGAAATACCTTTAAGACACAGGAAAGGCAAGCTGACAGGTAGTTTATATATGTTTGCTGGGTACTTGGTCAATGTCCTCGAACGCGGAAATATGTTTTTGCCGCTGGACATCAGGGTGCACCAGACATCCTGAAATGCACTGGCTTTGTTTGCAACCAGCTAGTGGTGACCAGTCCAAAAGGATTGTCAGCCGCTGGGGGCCCGAAGGAGCTCACAAGCAATCATAAACACTCACAGTCAATCTGATTGCAGGCCAGTCCTCAGAAAGAGAGAACTTGTAGTACGAACGGGGGGATGAGAAGATATCAGCAAAAGTTTGTATTTCTTGCCATGTTTTTGTTTACACATGTCACGTCAGTGATGGCTATCTTGGAAGCCCCTGGTTGCAAGTACTAATGGAACTACTGCCACTGCCACAGGCAGTGTTGGGAAGTGTGACTCGTTTGCAACTAAAGGTTGCTCAAGAGTTGCCACGGTGGCCGAACGCGCGCATGTAGAAACCACAAGAAGTCCCCGCATGTTTTGCTCCTGCTTTGTGTTAGTTAGTTTTGTGCCATGTTCAGGGCTGAACAATTTTTGCTGGCCATTTGGACTCAGCGCTAGTGCCGCTAGTGCAGAGTGATGGGCCACCATGGACTATAGGAACAGGGCTACATAGAAGAGGGCAAGCAAGTTGCGTTTTGGTCACGACTGAAGGTGACCGAATTCCAGATTCACATTTGACCCATGTTTGGAGCATTCCCATACCCCAACAGCTAACAGCTAGTGGCTAGTATGCCTTCAGTGGCACAGCAGACCAGCCAGCAGCATCAAGTCGTTGTACCTTGAAGCCTGACTAGTTGGAGGCCTTGCAGGCTGTCAGTCATATGATTATATTTACTTACTTAATAGCAAGGCAAAGTGGCTTGTGGCGAATGCAATTCTTGCACCCAGTGGGCCCTGTCCCAAATGTGCGCAGTGCGCAGAAGACTTGGACACCTTCAGGTCCGCAGATTTCGAGCTGGTGTGCTTGATGTTATTTTGGTGATCTTCTGGGCGATATAACTTCAGGGGGCACTGCAAGAGCACTTCCAGTCTTTCATGTGGCATGTGCGGTGTCGAAAGGATAGTGTCTTGGCGTGTTCTCTAGGTGAGACAGTCAGCGCGGCAATCAGCGCATGGCTGCCTTCACGAAGGCCTAAGTGGAGTTGTAAGTTGCACCCTTTGTTGATCTCTTGTTTTATTTCCGCCCTAGGCTTTTGCCAGATAGACACTCAGCCTGGCCACTGGCCGCAATTTTTGCAGCTGGGAGGTTGGGTTGAGATGTTCCAGTGATCTGACATGCTTCGGTCACGCAAGAGCTTGCTTTGCAGGGCGTCTTTGTACTGTTAAATGGACTTACCTGCTTCGTGCGACCGGGAAGGGTTTCTGGTCCAGAGTCCCGGCCAGGCTGGGAAGAACTTCTCGGTTTGCGAAGGCCAAGGCTGGTGTTGGGAAGGTTCAGAAGGTTATATGATGTTATAGGCACAGAATGAGCACAAGTTGCATCAGCATTCTCCACCAAATTTGAGATCCACCTAGCATGTACTTGATCTCCCTGGCTGGTTATTTATGATTGTTTCCGTTGCCTTGCGCCAGACGGTTCATACAATTAGTCAAACCCTGCAAAACTACAAGGTTCCTGCCCGCCGTCAGGGCTTGAACGAAACGGAGCTGGTGTCCTGGCCTTGGCAACAAAGTCAACGAAGTCATACCAATGATGCATGTTGCAAATGCTAAATCCACACTACATTCAATATTAACATAGTCATCCTGGATTAGATGGAATATAGAAAAAATGGTAATGTTCTCGGATTGGTTAAGATTCCATCATCTCCAGGATGCTTGCAATCTTACCCGGAAAAGCGAAAAGAGCAGCAAGGGCAAACGTGGACATGGACCCACTCTCCCACAGAAAGCAGAAGAGTTGCAACCTCGTGTGAATTAACAAAGGACTGATGTCCACTCACAATTTGGCCTTTCCCATGCGGCTGTCTCAATGACTTGAGCTGTTTTGCTGTGGATGCATCGGTTGCGTTTGATGTTTGGGATGAAGCTGCGCGGCATGTTTGGTTGAAAGATTCATTTTCTGTGGATTGGGCTCTGGGTGGTAGCGAGATGATGCTTCAACAAGTTGAAAATGCCCTTGGTTCCGACATCTTGTTGCGTTTCTTACCACAGGTTTCGCGAAGCTTTCGAAGCTGAAGCTCAACGTTGCGAACTCCTGGCACAGCAACTGCAGGACAGCAAGAAAGTTTGATTAATGGCTATTGGCTAGACGTCCGCGCAGAAAATCCCAGAACCAAGTTTCAAAGGGCCCAGCCTGTGTCAGCTCCAGTTCGTTGAACCCGAGATCTGAGTGAGTTGAGAGAGAAGCTGATAGCAGTGAACGAACGCGCATAATAGCGGCAAAGCGCTTCTTCATTTTTTGATTGTGGTGGTGGGTTTACAAATGAGACCGACATTGCACGTTGAATATCTGGCTTATCAACTTATCAACGCCTTCACCCAGTCCTACCATGCACCAGGTCCAGTTTCTCACTCTCATCCCGGGAGGAGGTCTTCGCACGAAAACAGGTGGAAGGCGCACATGGGCTTGTTAATGGCCCAACGATCAGGAGGGCAAGAGTTTCGCATGCACAACTCCGCACAACCAAAGATATGATACAACCAGATGCACCACGTTACACCGTTACACCTAAAGGAACTTCTGACAGGTGGTTGTCAGCCTCTGTGAAATGTGACATAAAAGCATGCCACCACGGTAGTTTAGTTTTGTTGCAGCTTTACTTGCAAGGGATGTGTGTGTGTGAGATGTTGTTCCACAGCCGTTTGGAACAGCAAAGGAGCCAAAACTGTCAAAATGCGTGGAGACTGTGAGTATATATATATATACTATAACCGCTGTAAGATTGACAGGCGGCAAGGCAATCGAGACAAACTCGGTCGAGGCCACAGCATACTGGAGTTCACGATTTGGCATGGGATATAGTGTTTGGCGGTTGTTTCTAGTCTAGGTTTGAGGCCATTACTACTAGTAGCTAGAAGCTACTAGGTTGGAGGCCATCGCTAGTAGGTTGGAGGCCATTCCTATTAGTTTCAGTTGCAATTGTTTTCCTTGGGCGATTGGGCCACGAGACCTGAACTGTATCATGGTGCCACTGAAGGCCGCTTATCTGCAATCCTGAGACTGAGCTAATGATTTGTTGGTGAAGTGTATCTCTGCAATTGGGTGCAGAATCAAACAATCACGATAATCACGTGCCAAGCTAAAGGACACAATAGAACCACTGTGAACGACAACCCATGAAGTCCGAGAGTGGAAGAGTTGCACACGGAGGCACCGGTGGCTGGATTCTCACCAGACCTCCCTGGCGGAAAGGCGTCGCAGGGAGTCCGAGAGGAAACGAGAGGAGTGGAGTGAGCACACGTAACTTAACCTCCTCCCTTTGTGATGGATTTCGATATTTGTGCGTTGCATACTTCATCCGAGAAGTTTTGAGGACGATGATTCTATGATCGTACGAGGTCCTTTGATGACTGGAATCCCGTGTTCCGTCTCCACATACTCTTGCGGACACCCAGGACAAAGACAACCCAAAATACAAAGAAGGCATATTTTTTTGTCGAGGCGTTCCTGGCAACAGGAGTTAGCTAGTCCATGTCACTAGCAAAAATACACCATAGTATACCTATATTATATATACATATTGTATTTATATACATATGGCTCATTGCCCGCATGTAATTATAACCGTATTCCTAACATCCTGAGGATCTTGGTACGGTAGTTTAGCTGAGGTGGCAGGATGCTTTCGAGGTGGGCTGGGTCTTGGACACTTTGCGATTCACTTGAGAAGAGCTTAGCAAAACAGCTGGTCAATTCGGATCTGTAACGAAGCGATAAGACAACAATGGTTTTTCTCCTTTGGTTGTGCCAGCACATTCCGGTGCAGGGAGTTGAAAGTGTTGATCCCAATCGCAGATTCCAGCTGACTTGGGTGTCAGGCTGCGAAGGACTTTGCCGAGTCTCTTGAGAAGCAACTGGAAGAGGCAAATCAGATGCAAAGCAGCTGTATTTTATGGTCTTCCCGGGTGAAGTAGGATGATTTTTTGCAATTCCTACCAGTTGGTTACATTCAGTAAGTTTGAAGGTCATTCATGCAGTCAGTTGACTTGCAAGCGGGTGTGTTGAATTAATCGCACTTGCAATTTTGGCTTACTTGCTGCGCTCATGGCCACTCTTCAACGATCCTTGAAAGATTCCCACATGCCAACCCATCTAAACCTGCATTTGTACCCTGTTGTGTGCTGTTTCAAGCTTCAAAGAATGGCCATTGTGGTGAACTTGGGGGAAACAGAATGCAAACAGCATCGCCGGAAGCTCTTTGAACCACTTGGGCAATGCGGCTCATTTCTCATGGCTGTACCTTTCCTGGCGGCCAGCATTCTGGTGGTGCATGCTGCTCCGATCTCCAATGTGCCATTACAGAATGTGCTCCCCAAGCTGAATTTAGAGGAGAGCTGCGGTGTGCTGATTGGGGCAGTGGCTCGATTTCTTGCTGCTTGATTGGCGTGTGCAAGCACAACACTTACTACAGCCCACCAAGTTTTTCATTCAATCTTTATCTACCCATTTGTTCACATACATGTTTTTCAAATGAACGACTATGGGACAGTAGAGCGCATCCTCCTGGTTGCCATGACATGTTGTTTTTCTGAGTGAACTTGCATGACCGAAAGTATCCCCAAAGTTGTTCCAAAGCTCCTTCCTTGAGCTTGAGCTCAGGCTTAATACCTGTGGAGGCACATGGCAGTGGAGTGTCATCAGTTTGCCAGTGTGATGCATGTCCTTTACTAGGCCTTTTGCTTGTCCAAAGGGGTGCGTTATAGGGAAAGGTAGCTTGAACATGCTGTTTACTGAACGAAAGGATGCTGTTGTTCTGCATTATTCAAGAATGCAGTTCAAGTCGGTTTGGATCAGGATCTTAAAATAGATGTGTTTTCCAGTCCATTCTTCGGGGGTGGCATCCGTTCCTCGCTTGTAGTTGTATTCCTTTTGCATGCCAGTCATCATGGTTGATGATGTGTTTTGCATCATTTCTTCCGTCTCCATCACTAAATTTTTGGCTGAGTTGTGTTGTTTCACCTCAACAGGCGAGATCAGGTTGGATGACGATGAGTTGATGAGGTGAGCATGAACTAATATGGTTGCGCCATGACGCTAAACATAGACACATGTTTAGGCTTAGGATGTTTAGGAATATACCGTGTTCACCCCTCTATGTGACCTACTATGCATACAACAGACGGAAGGGGATGTGCTCAAAAGAAGCGGAGGAGAGAACGTCCAAAAGAATCAGAACGGGTAGAATGAACAGATGACAAAGGATGAGGTCGGGATGAACCAGAAGATCCAGAAGGCAAGCTCAGTCAAGAGGAGAATAGAGGAGACAGAATGGAGTCCCCGGAAGATAATGTAGGTCAGGCGAGGCCAGCCAGGCAGGCTCTTGCAGGCCCATGGACAGATAGCGAGACCTATTGGGGTTCTTACTTCAAAATAGGAAGAGGTGCCTCTGTGTGCTTTGGGGCCTAGCTGCAGGGTGCCGCTGCCAGATGTCTATGGCTGTGTGCTTTGGAGCGTGTTGCGGCCAAATGTTGATGGCAGCACACGCTTTGGAAGGCTGGGTGCTGGTGCTGCTGCAGGGCCGCTGCTAGGTGTCTATGCCACTGTGCGCTTTGGAGCCTGGTGCCGGTGCCTCTGCAGGGCGCTGCCCATAAATATTTATGCTAGTTCGGGTGTATGCTGACTTGTCCTGGGGCCTTCAAACTTCGAACATTTTATTCGGATCCAATTATATACACACCTTGGGTTCTGAGGGAGGGAGTGTTTAAAGTACATTTGTATCCGAATGCGTTTCGGTGCGGCAAGAAACTATTGAAGTTTATCAGGCGCCTTTTGTCGCATTACTGCCGCAGTGTCACACCGGTAGTGCGCTTCGTGTTCCTGCGTGTTCAGAGTTCTCTCGGCACCAGGCCACCTTCCAGGCGAAGCCAAAGCTCAGCCAGGTCAGTTGGGCCTTTGGCACACCAGTTGGGATTTACCAGAGGGAGGCCCTAGTATGGAAGGAAGGTTTGTGAATGTTGTTCGCAGTTGGCAAGTTGGCCAGTAATTCTTTAAATAATGCTGCAAGGTGCCTGGAACTATATACTCCTTGCTGTGTACTTTTGGCCAGTCGTGGCTGTTGATGGGCTATTCCGTGTTTCTTTGCAATGTCTACCCGGTGGCCGTGTCATGGCTCAAATGCATGGACATTATAGGGATTAGTACAAGAAGATGGTTCAATGATTACAGACCCAAGAAATGTGCAGGGAAAGCAATGACAACCAACGTGATTCAGTTACAAGATGGTCATTGTGGCAACCCACTCAGCAGTAGTTTTTCCCTCCCATTCCATTCGGAGGTTCCAGTGAGGCCATGAGATGGTCGGGAGTCTCCGAGCGTTTATCGGTCCAGTCCGAAAAATCAAAACCTCAAGGACCTCCTCGTCAGGGCCGGCAAGCCAGTCAGACCAGCATGGACAGCGTGGAGGAGATTTTAAATCAGACTCGCAGGAGATCGATGGAATATCGGGATTCACAGGTTGATATCTTTTTGAAAGAGAACGGCTTCAGAGAGGTGAATGCTCCCCGTCCTGGCCTATGCCTATGTGGGCAGGAGAGGATTTATCCTATCCATTTGGCCGCAGTGAAGGGTAATCACCAAGTGTTGCCGCTGGGCAAGTTCTTATTTTTGCATGTTCACTTGTCCGATGTGTAATCCAGATTGGGTTGATTTGTGGAGGAACTGTAAAGAGTCTAAGGCACCGTTGTACTTTCTGAGCCAACCGCATGGCATGAAGAGATCACCATCAGCCTTTGAGCTTAGGCTGATGCTGCTGTCTGCCAATGCCGACCCGTTGCAGGAAAGCTCCAGGGGCCGGACGCCATTCCACTTTGCCAAGCATGCCAACAAGGACCAAGCGCACCTTTGCTATTGCGGTATTGCTGTTCCACAGTGTCTCGTAGAGTTCTACGTATATACAATATAGATATAATTGTTACAATGTTTCGCAATCCCTATGCCACTCCTGCGCCTGATTTGGCGCAGGTTGCTAGCTTGCAAGTCTTTGGTCCATCGTGTTTCGTGATGGAATAAAAACAACAGGCTACCAGAAAATGGCAACCGTTGCAAACGGTTGACTTGAAAGTGCTCACCAAGCGCACCAGCAGCAGCAGCAGCAGCAGCACCAAAATCAGCGTCACCGACAAGTAGTTGCATGCCACCCTGCAGTATACTAAGGATCGGACACTGGACCTTTCGGACTGGCAATTTCATGTGCTCCGAATGCAGGCTTTTGGACTCACATCGAGGTCACAGCACATGCTTCATGTTTCCCCATGTTTCCACAACCTCCAGAGCTCAACACGTTATGGCGTGCTCTTTGCTGCGCCACCAGGACGGTTCGCACAAGGGCGTTTTGGAATTGCTCCAGCAGCTCACCTTTTCCCGCACTAGGTCCTTCACTGACATGGAGACACCTTCCCAAGAGCATGAAGAAGGTGCAGATGAAGAGGCCCCTGCGCAAAATACGCTGGGGAATTTAGACACTTTGCTGGCTGAAGAAGTGCAAAAGGTAGACATGTGATGCCAAGGGGCATTGCATTCTTGTTCTGCCTTGGACCATGCAGGGTGGGGCAAAATTATGTGCAATCAGCAGTCTGCTGGATGATTGCATGGTTTCAGTAGAGGAATCGCCCCCTCTCTGGCGAGCGGCCAGTTCTGTCACATTTGTATTTTTCACAGGTCCATGCGATGGCTTCTCAAGGAAACCACTACTGCATGACGACGATGCGTTTGCGCAAAGGAAAAGTACGGAGAGTTGCCAGTAGAGTTGCCACATGTGCCGCTGGACTTGACTTCGGACCCTCTATAGTGACTATAGTGTCGCATCAGTGTCGCCAACACATGGCTGAATAGCTTTGCACGTCCTTAGCCCCATCACTCCAAGCCCCGAATGAAACGTCTTTTCATGACTTGAGCTGAGAGAGTGTTATTACGCGCAAACAGCATCAAGCCTAAAATATAATTCCAATATATTCTAATTACCCATCTCCCCAGCAATAGGCCTGTAGAAGCCCATCCATGAACTGCACAGGCTCACAGCCTAGTACGCGGCGAACACTTCGCTTTTGGAAAGCTCTTGGCCATTTGAGGGTCAAGAGCTTGAAAGCCAGAGAAGCACCTGCAGCTAGGCGAACGAAGCTTGAGTTTTTTTTTCTGGCCGAATGACTGAAGGAATCCACTCTGAGTGACCGCCAGTTTGACGCGGTCATTCTATATGAATCCTTTTGCTGGTTTCCTCCATGGTTTGGAGGCGCTTTGGCTTTGGCATGTCTTGCTTGTTGGGGCATTGACGTGACCAATAGTCGTTTGCAATGAATCGTGCCTGTTCTTTTTAGTCACTTGTGCACTGAACCCGGGTGAGGCCTCTCTTGGCACAACTCAGGGTGCATCACGGATTGGTCCTGCATGATGCTGCAATTGTTGTTCGTGGTTGACATGTTGGTGAAATTGGCATAGTGAATTCGATGGCTGTAGACAGATCGTGTTACACAAACTCCGTAGTGTTGGAACTAAGAATTTGCTTCTGTAGTCTTCGCACTTTGCATATTACATCACACCTAATCCAACTTACTCGTATCAACCGCTCCTTTTGTCGCCCTACTGTGCTCGCCTGAGCCCTGAGGAAGTGGACTCCCAGCTGATATTTGAATTTCCCAAAGGGAGTGTGGTGGGCCAAAGCCAACGCAGCTGTGTGCTGGTGGCTGGCCTGTGGCGCTTGCCAATTTATCAGCCAAGGCGATCTGGTTGAGCTCTATGTGCAGGAAACCAGAGTAGTCGTAGGAATACGGTTTTCCTGGGGATCAACAAACTGTGGTTTACCTTCGTGCACTTCGGTTCTGTGGCTTTGGGAAGGTAGCAAGGAAGGAACAATGGCAAGGCAAAACAA